GGCTCATCCGCGGCGACAACGCATTCCAACGATATAAACGGCTTGGCCCAGATTCGCTTGTGTGTGTTTATCCCGCGAGAGGATCTTATTTCTGGCATTTCTCTCCGTCGAAGGCTGCGGAAACCGCGAAATATCCGTGGAGACCGCCTCTATCTCCAAACAGAAGAGAGAGAGAGGAAGAGAGAGAGAGAAGGAAGAGCGAGAGGAAAAGAGGGGAAGGCTTGAAGAAGAGAGAATATGGAAGAGAATACGGAGTTTTGACACGATTAAATTTCACGGATTTCTTGGAACGATTTTTAATAAACGAAAATAATGCGTAAATGTTGGATGGTTTTGGATAATGATGGGATCGAGTGGAACGTGTAAAATTGTGTATTGGTATTTGCAAGCCGAGTTTGTAAATTACATTGGAGAATTTTTATAATTTTATTCTCGATTCTTTCGGTTGCAATTTTTTCGAAATAATATAAACTGTATGTTGCTTATAATTAGATCATATGCAGGAAAATTGATATTTAATAATTGCGGAAAGAAAAATTTGAACAATTTTTAACTCGATAGAGATCATTTTAGAGTCGAATGAAATTTCAGTCAATGTTTGAGTTTACTTGAAAATATCTGTTCTTTCTTTTCGAGATAAAGAATTTAAATCTATTTACGATAAATTTATTCGATTAATTCTAGAAGATTTGAATGAAGTCTTCTTAAATATATATTTAATTTGTTTCTTTTTCGAAATATTCGTTTGAATTCATTATTTATGACGCATAATACGATGCAATACTTGGTTTCATTAGTATCAGTTTTTAGAGCAAGGTTGAGATTTACTATGAAATTCATCTACGAACTAATCGATATTTTAAATATTTGGAGCGTGCTCGTGAATAATTATTGCAGCTTGCCCGAGCCGAGATTTCAAGATTTCGAACAGATTTTAACAAAATTCGTTTAAATCTTATAAAATATTCTTCTAAATTTATTTACTTATGTATATTTGTTTTTCACGTTGATATTCGCGATGGAAAGTTAACTCTAAACCTCTGTCAAAATCACGAAGAATGATTCTTATCATGGCTCGTGATTACAGAGATTAGTGGAATATTTCTCATCTCTTTCTTTTTATTATTATTACAAGCTCGACCGTAAATCATAATCATTTGCTGATAAATGTATTTTGCAAATAAAGGTATAGCAACTTTTGATTAATTCAAGGTCAAAAAAAAAAATAATACTCTGCATTCTTTTGATTTTAATCGTGAAAAATTTTTTTAAAAATTCCTTCTATTCTTATCGAGATGTAGCAATATAGCTTCGATTGATTCAAGATCAATAAAAAAATTTAAAAAAAACATATATTCTTATTATTATGATATAATTTAATTATATCAATTTAACTAAAAATATAATAATCATATAGTAAATAATTTATCCTAGAAATATTCTTACAGTAGATAAAAAATTAAATTTAAAATATTTAAAAATGAAAAAAGTGTAATTTATCACGCTAAGTTATGATAAAAAAAAAAAACCTGAAGAAAGAAATTTCTCGTTTCAAATTATCGTTTGTACAAGATTTCGTGCATATCGATATCGAGAAATATCACGAAAGAACGCGACGATAATATTTATCGTTCGCAGTTATAAGAATTTCGCCTATCTTATCGGAACGTTTAGAACGTATCAACTCTTTATCTCTAGTAGTTTCGCCGAAGAAACGACGGGTACCGGTGTTTTTCTCGAATATAATCGATAACAGTGCGAGGAGTCGGAGCTCCAATGAAAAATCGCCGTCCCGATACGAAACTATCGGCTCGCAACGCGATTCGCCGCGAGTGTGCGCGCGAATCGAATCGTGTCGATAGCCGCGATACTCGTATCGAGGATATCGCGATAAAAATAAATCGACTGGTAATTCATCGGCCGCTGATTCGTTTGTTTGGCTGTAAGCGATAAACTTGATATACACTATGATCGAGAGTTTAGAATCGTTGATGCATTACGAAATTCAAATATAATATTTGAAAAATATGTTGGGTTATTTAATTTCAGGTTAGTAGATAGGTTAGGTTAGAAATTGAAAATATATATCGGCGAATATTTTCGATTTCTCCCGAATCGAAGGATTGGAAATACAGAATTTTTAATCAGAATTGGAATTGCAAAAATTATAGGAATAGGATTAGAATATAGTTAAAATCTTAGGAGAAGATTATTGAATCGATTCGAAATTTTTCGGTTAATAACGTAGGTCGCGACTATATCGGGCGAACTTTTTTTAATGTAATTTCGCGATGATATAATTGGCGCGAGATTCGAAGTTGGAAACGAAAAAGAGAACAACGAAATTGAACGTTATTATTAATTACGTCGACGTGTTTAATTAATTCGTTCGTGTAGTGAAATTTAATCGACGGTTACACGTGTCTGTCGCACCTCGTTTATCGTTCGCGATAGAATACAGACTCGCATGAAACGAGTCGAATTTTTTTTCGCCGAGAACAAGTTCTTATGCATGAAGCACAACGTTCCGCCAATTTCTACTTTGTAATTTATTTTCATTGCGATTTAATCGAGCCTGGTTAGAAATCTATCCTCATCCAGATATATTTTCTACGCATTTTCAATGAGAATCGTAAATTTCTCAAAAGTTGTTGTTTTCCAACGATATAAATTACAAGGATCGATAATTCTTCTAAGTTTAAACACGTTTCCAGATATCAACTTAGAATTACATGTAACTCGGACTAGAATTCGTTTTAAAAGTTGAAATTTCACGTATCCTCGAATATTAAATAATTAAAAAAAAAAAACTAGAGAATTTCAATGCTACCAATCTCGAAAATTCAGATACTCAAAGAACCCAAAGTAAGTAATCGAAGGATTGGAAATACAGAATTTTTAATCAGAATTGGAATTGCAAAAATTATAGGAATAGGATTAGAATATAGTTAAAATCTTAGGAGAAGATTATTGAATCGATTCGAAATTTTTCGGTTAATAACGTAGGTCGCGACTATATCGGGCGAACTTTTTTTAATGTAATTTCGCGATGATATAATTGGCGCGAGATTCGAAGTTGGAAACGAAAAAGAGAACAACGAAATTGAACGTTATTATTAATTACGTCGACGTGTTTAATTAATTCGTTCGTGTAGTGAAATTTAATCGACGGTTACACGTGTCTGTCGCACCTCGTTTATCGTTCGCGATAGAATACAGACTCGCATGAAACGAGTCGAATTTTTTTTCGCCGAGAACAAGTTCTTATGCATGAAGCACAACGTTCCGCCAATTTCTACTTTGTAATTTATTTTCATTGCGATTTAATCGAGCCTGGTTAGAAATCTATCCTCATCCAGATATATTTTCTACGCATTTTCAATGAGAATCGTAAATTTCTCAAAAGTTGTTGTTTTCCAACGATATAAATTACAAGGATCGATAATTCTTCTAAGTTTAAACACGTTTCCAGATATCAACTTAGAATTACATGTAACTCGGACTAGAATTCGTTTTAAAAGTTGAAATTTCACGTATCCTCGAATATTAAATAATTAATTAAAAAAAAAACTAGAGAATTTCAATGCTACCAATCTCGAAAATTCAGATACTCAAAGAACCCAAAGTAAGTATACAAACGAAAGCGTGATGGATGAAGTGATTTTCTAATTGACGTTTTATTTATCAAGCATTTAATATTTCAATGTAATGAATCGATCCTTCCGACTCATACACCAGAGTTATCTAATCTCTGGCAAGAATCAATCGAGTCGAAACGTGATAAGCGTGCTTTCCATTTCCTTGCAGCGTAGATTTTGTCCGCGCTTTCCTTCGAAATCTGATCCACAAAGCGATTATTCACGATGACAAATTATCAACCACCGCTTATCAAAAGATATATAGACAACTCTTTAATTATCGCGGTTAATGAGATCATTCGTTAATAAAATTCTGATAAAATTTTATACGTTTATTATATTTCGTAGAATAATTTCCAACAATTTCTACGAATGTTACTGTCCATGAAGTATGTAATGTAATAATTTATGATCGTGATTTGCTTGAGAATATCATCGAAATATGTAATAATTCTTCGACTCACCGTAATTAATTCACAATAATTTACGTTAATTTGTATCGAACGAATTGAAAATACACGAGTATGCAACGTGTGATCAATCATATTTCACTACAGTTAAACCAAGCAGAATTTCAGGTCAGGTAATAACACGTTTTCACTGGCATAAAAAGAAAGAAAGAAAGAAAATTGCCATTTGAATATTCAATCGGACAAGAAAATCCTCGAACGAAAATGCAGCAGCCTCGATCGGGGCTAATTGAAGGCGAGTCACGAAAATCTCTTTCGGCCCATTCGAATTTTCCGGTTCCGTGGCCCGATTCGTGGCCCGCCTCTCAACGTTCGACCGAACGACAAGCTTTGGAAGCTTGTTGGGTGTTGATAGAGAGCGCTGTGGCGAATCGATACGGGCTCCATAATCGTCTTACGTCCTCTCTCGTGCACGTGAAAACGCCACTTTTTGATATTGACGATGTTATTCGTATTGTTATTAACGATGTATCAACTATCGAGCTCAACACTAAACTTACCGACAATTCTTATTCCTATTTATTCCTACCGCGTCGGTAAGCAAGACAAAGTACAAATATTTTATTTCTAATATAATATTTCTATGATATGCATATATTTCAGGAAGTCGTAAAGTTTGATAGCGAGATGATAACTTTAAATGTGTTTAAATATATGAAAAAGTTTGAACACAGTCAAATTTAAGTGTTAAGATCTAAAGCTCAAGAGTTTATCGATCGAGTTTATCGACCGAGTTTATATACGAATTTTATTTCGAACGAAATATATTTAGTGATTTATCGTTGTATCAATCATAGTGAAAAATATCTTTTAAGATAATTATTAATGCATCATATGTGTTGTAAATAATGTCCATATTTGCATAATGGACGATTTGTTTTAGACAATATGATCGTTTTTTGAGGGGAGGGGTTATTATTGATTTAATAATCTTTTAGCTCCTCTTTAGTTCCACTTTGCAAATTGTATTGGCAGACGAGTCAAACAAACTGGCGTCGAGGCACGCGATTAGATAGGCGATGTTAATGAGTTTAACAAGGGTGTAAGTATTCTAGTTTGTTAATTAAACGAGCTGTAGAGAGAAAATATTATACAATCGAATACGTATTCTGGATTGAATTACAAATTTGTAATAAATCTTCTTTCTTGTATTTATATCTAAAAGAAAAAGAAATAAAAATTGAATAAGGAAAAGGTTATAGAGAGATCAACATACGTAAAGATCAAAACAAATAAAAAATATATACAATAATAAATGTTTATTATCATAAACGAAGCAAAATCTCGTTTCCTTCTAACACAGAAATATAGAACAATAAATTGTTCGTAATTTAGAAAAATTAATTTTAAATCAAATTTCAAGTTTATTTTAACACCTTGTCTTTAAAAATCCTATATAGTTTTTGAATTTTCAGAGAGCACGAAAACAATAATTGTTAAATTTAGGTAAATTTAAAACAATATTTTCATTTTGTTTTCGATAACAAATTATCGTTAAAATACTTTTCTGACTTTCAAGTTACGATAAAAAATTAACAATACTTGCTTTCGTCGTTCATGCACATCTGGATCGTAGACCTTCGTCCTGAGTTATCCTCGACACGAAGGCCGCCTATCTTTATAGGGAAAGATGAGTAACGAGCGAAACGACTTGGCGCTTCGTGCGCGGATTGATAAAGAGAATGTGGTTGGTAATTAAACCTCGTTGGAAAATATTCACCTCGCCTTCTCCATCTTTGGTTCTTTGGCCTTAAAATTAAAAAAAAAAAAAAAAAGAGACAGAAACATGGTAAACATCCCACACAATACCTGAATTCAATTCAACTCGAATATCTTATTTATTTATTTATTTTATCAATCACAAAGGTTTGCAATTTCTTACGTCTATCTTATATTGTGTTTATTCCAAAATCTAAACTTAATAGAGATCTAAGAAATTTAAAATTAAAATTATAGTCACAATTGTGAATTTATATTATCAAAGAAAGTAGAAATATTTTAAAGAAATTAATATTTTAATGATAAAAAAAAACAGAATTGTATTTCTATATCGATAAAAACTAGTATTAATTTTGTAAAAAAAGTTTTGTCTAATTTCAGGTCTAATTAACTTAATGATACTTCAGATATATGTATGAGTATAAAGAATAGAGAAAGATAGAGAGGATAATTCTAAAACCAAAATTACAATGAAATATTTAGCAATAGAGCATGTAGAAAGATTCGAGTTGCGGTTGGAATGGAAGAAAATAATTTCTTGAAATGTAAAAGTGGATTTCTTTCAAGGGAGTCGAGCTCTTTCCTCGATTACGTGCCATTTCGGTAATGAGAACTTGAGAATAGAAGAAGAAAATGAGAAAAAAAGTACCAATCTCATGTAGCATGATTACAATAATAGCAACGATGTTGCTAATTATGCGCTGAGAAAAATGGTATTCGCAGCGTTTGCCCTAGAAAGTGAATTGAATAAAATTCTGTGACTGAGAAACGAGATCTAACTTTTTCCCTAAGATTCAACTTTTTGTCGTATCGATTTGATTGGTGGATTCACTTATTCTAACGATTAGAAGCTTAAAATAAATTAATCTTAAGTTTTATATTAAATAAAAATAAATATTAAAAGAATAATTAAAGAAAGAATTACTCGAAACATTATTAATCTCTGAATATATTAATTAATATAGAATAAAACAGTGATAGAATAGTAATAATTAAAATTATGTCAATTAATTGTTGAATGAGTGACTGTTAACTATATTCTTAATATTCTATCATTTTCTTCAATGTCCTTCCAGTATATCCAAAAATTGAAATTTTATTTCTTTGAAGGAAAAATAAATTAAACCTGATTCTAAATCAGGTTTAAAAAACATATATTATTCTGAAAAATTAAACATTGACTATTATACATTTTAATTTTAATCGTTAAGAATTTAAAAAAAAAGTAAATTAGTTTGGTTCTTGAATGATTCATATATTAAAAAAATAAAAAGAAAATTTAGATAAGAATTATAGGTTTCAATTATGGAATTGAAAATTTAATGACTAGAACGATTGATGCCAGATTAAATAAGAAACAATAATAAATTCATTTCATCTGTTTCAGGTTTATGGGGGTTTGCGTCCACGAGGGACAACTTCATGCCCTGACAGAATATATAAACGGTGGCAGCTTAGAGCAGTTGATCATGTCTAGGCACACGCCTTTGCCCCATCTAATCAGGATGAATCTAGCGAAAGACGTAGCACGTGGCATGACCTATCTTCACAGCCGTGGACTCTTCCATCGGGATCTCACGTCCAAGAACGTTTTGATCAAGAAGGACGAGAACACTTTTGAAATGACCGCCGTGGTTGGAGATTTCGGGTTGGCTGCAAAAATTCCAGATCCAAGCTCTGGATACAGGTTGAGCACAGTAGGCAGTCCGTATTGGATGTCGCCCGAGTGTCTGAAGGGTCAATGGTACGATCATAGATCAGATGTTTTCTCGTTCGGCATAGTAGTTTGTGAGCTTATCGGCCGTGTGCCCGCCGATCCGGATGTTCTACCACGGTCGGATAATTTTGGCCTCGATTACCTAGCCGTGGCAGAGATCTGTGCAGCAGCTGATCCGCCGCCAGCCTTCCTACAGCTCGCCTTCAATTGTTGTACTGTGAGTAAAATGGAATGTTTATTCAATCTTTGTCGAAATTTATATATATATATATATATATATATATTGAGAACTCTTCCTTTAAATAATTAAAATTTTCATAATAATACTTATGTCGTTTATATAATACATGTATTTATTTATATAAGATATTACTATGTATTTATGGGATTCATCTTTGGAAAATTAATTTTGGTTACATATATATGAATTATATTGGAAGTTATGCAAGTTCATATAAGTCATCAAGTTGTACATGATAGGTTAAATTATTATACGAGAAATATATTTATTAAGTTATAAACAATTGAAGTTTGCGAGTTATTCATTTTTTATCACGTGAATTTCATGAATTTCCAGGTATTCGATATCTTGTTTATGATTAAAATCAAAATTGTGAAATACTTTCTGATATCAGTATAAAATTATGATGTATATTATAACGTTAGTATTATCGATTACCCACGTATGGTGCTGCAATCACTTTCGATCTGAAATATCGATTATTATAATCTTTGCCTTCTTGTTTCAATTTTTTTCTAAAAATTTTATTCAACTAATTTTTTATTATAAATACTTACTTTTACTTTTGTTGAATAAATGTAGTTTATAAAAAAAATATACTGATGTAATAATATATATATTTTTTAATATTTAATATTTAGAGATTCAAAAATATTATGGAAATTGCAAAATGCATTATAATTCTGTTCCAATATTTATATTTTATATCACACGTATTATACATTTTATTTAATTAATTATTAATTTAACAAATGTAATGAACAAACTGCTAAGAATAAATCACTCACGCGATCTGCAAATTATATAAAACTAACTTGACACAAAATGTGTTATGTTACATGAATTAAATGAATTAAATATTCATTTATCTGATACAAATTTAAATAATTCAATAAATAATTTTGCATATGAATTTTTATGTTTTTTTTTATCTCTATAATTATTTATATAAAAGAATTCCATGAATATATTAATATTTTATAATAAGAGTTCATCGATGATATTTCATTCAATTAATAAAAGTTCATGTTCATATAATGGGATTTTGTAAAACATTTTTTTTAAAATACATAATAATATTATATATTTAATTCTATATTTTAATTCTTAAATATTCGGATAATCGAAATTTCTTAAATGATGACATTCTATTCATTTCTCATATATAATTGTCAGAAATATGTTAGTTTGCACACATTATTTAACCAATATTATTTCACACGGATTATAAAACACTTTATAATATCAACTTCTCATCTCGATATGTATACAGAGTGTATTCTTGACCACAAAACATTGCCTTACGTTGCTTTCAGTATGAACCAAAATCAAGACCAACTTTCCCAGAAATTACCTCCAGCTTGGAGACTATGATCACCAATTATGAGGAATCTAAAAACAACATAGGCAAGCGTCAATCTGTGGATCCTAATCTCATGTCCAGCATGGACGAAATTACGAGAGAAGGACGTTCCACTAAACGTAAGACTGCTCGTCTGCGGAGCCAATCAGCTGATGCAAAAGGTTGCGACAATGCGACACCTTCGGACAAAGCGAGATGTCACTCTGCAAGGAGGGTGGCGGAGTTGGCAAGCAGAAGGGATCCACATTACAGACCTATGACGGCGAATCCGTTCCACGCGTTGGGCGGTGTGAAGAAAATTCTCGGTGACTTGTTCTCTAGTTGTCTGGAACTTCCATCTCTGGAAGATGTCAGACCAAGCGTCACCGATGCTATCACCAAATTCAAACCTGCGCAGAATGATAGTATCGCGAAGATCTTGGACAGAAAGAAACCTAATTCGGAACCTAGCAGTCCTACTGCCAGGAAAAAATGGGAAAGAAAGGTATCGATATGTTCCATTTGATTCTGTTCCTTATTTCAGGTATTTCTTTTTTTTTTTTTTTTTACGTTTAATTGTGATTTGAATACTAAAAGCCAGTATATATAATATATTCTATATAGTAAGTCATAATCTGTCTTAAAGAAAAATGGATTTGTGTGAAGAATTGGAACAATAGCAAAATTCAATGATGGAAGAAGCAATTTTTAAAATCTGCAAAAGGACATAAATCAAACAATAACTGCAATCAATTATTCATATATTGAAAAAATGGTATTTGGCCAATTTATTTATGATCTAAGATATTAAGACGATAAAGAGGTTAGAATTTAAGATTTAGGATCTTTTAAACTAGCTTACTTTTTGATTACAATTAATCAGAAATGAATTCTAAATTTTAAATCTTAATTTTTAATAACTAATTTATAAATAAATTTTAAAGAGATTTAAAATGTAATACTATTTGAAATAATACTATTTCTGCTTTCTAAATTTAGCTCATAAGAAATTTGTTCTTATGACTAATCTAAATCAATCATTATTATAGGCTTGTTATTTTTATACCTTTTTTACTTGTAACTATTATGTGGTCAGTTCAATCAGTTAAAAAGAAATCTTAAGTTCTAAATCTTAAATCTTAATAGCCAATTTGCAATAGATCTGAAAAAGATCTTAAATTCTAAGTTTAAAGTCCTGATATTGTTTTTGATCCTAATTCCAATTCTAAGTCCTAGAACATAAATTGTAAGGAGTTGGTCAACTGCGATCTTTTCAGACTAAAAACTTAAGCCAATAAGAAAGCTACCATATTCTCAGTTTTTGGATCCACATGATTGCAGTTGTTTGATGAAAAAAAGGTTAGTTAATCATGAAGACAAGCATTAAAAAATTCAAACCTTCATGAGTAACTTTATAATAATATAAAATTAATAAGAAACAAATAATGTATTCTTTTGAAGATTTGAAAAACTTCTTCTCTCATTTTCCTTTTCTTTACAACCTAAGATTTACAACTATGATCTCTACTTTAATTGAAATGATAAAATTAATCTTAATTTACTTAATTAAATTAATAATTAGACGTATTTAGCTCCAATTTATTAGTAAATTAAAAATTCCATTTTCCATACGTCTAATTATATCTAAAACAATTTTTCAGGTGGCCACGAAGGTAGGCGCAGCCAGCTTGTTCATGCATCCGCTTTTCCGGGACGGATGGGAGCCAAGAAGGCGCGGCAGCTGCGAATCAGGTTTCTGGAGCTGCGTAGGTGAAGATCTTAGTCCAGAGCCACCAAACCGTCGTCATACCTCCACTCTAAGCAGTTCTGCTGCGAGCAGTCTTTTCTTATTAGATGATCATCGAACCAGTTCCATTTACACTGACTCCTCCGAGGACATAGCCAGCCTAGGTGGTGGTGATTCCTGTTGGGAGGACAGATTAAGCGGCATAGGGTCTTCCAGTAAAACAATCTCCAAGATAGTCGAATATTTTGAGAAAAAACAAGCTGGTAGCTTGCGTTTAACCGATTATGATGCCGGCTCCAGCAGATTAACCTTGCTTAAGGCCAGCTTGGAGGGTCCTGTACCACTGTGCAACATCTCAGCTGCGCAGAGATTGGTCGTTTGCGAGGGTGCTGTGCGCAGCAAACTATCCTTGTTTGACAAAAAGTGATACACGTCAGTTGCACGTCGTAGAATTCGTTCCTTAGGGTTTCTTGGTTCTCTCTGCCGATATCTGTGGACCGTATGAAACACAGGTGTCTATAAGAAGAAGCGCTTCGACGATTGTGAAATTGTTGAAGAGTGGCGGCTCATATCGATGCGACGAAAATATTGGAGAAAAGTAACGATCAGAGGAGGAAGTAAGAGATCTAACGATCGGGTCGCATGCGAAAGAAAAGTAAGGGGAATCGGATGAAACGATTATATTTCCATTGGACTTTGAAATGGTTTAAAGAGGTTTGAACAGGGTCAGTATTAACTACTTAAATTCGAGTTATCCGGTTTTTCAAGTCCAATGGAAATACAATCAATTATTGAAGTTCAGCGGACGCTTCTCTAAAAAAAATCTAGTAACCCGACTGTGATCTTTTTTGATAATCTACATACATTATTGATGTCCTTACACGACTATTGTTTGAAGCTGTCTGCGCGAGTTCCTCTTTTCGCGTGCGACCATCGTTCGAGCGTTTTTCTTCGCTAGTGCACTTTTAAAAAAAATATCTTTATACTCGATCCGATAGCCGATCAATTTTAAAAAATGATTCTTTCACTTTTAGACGTCAATAGTTCTTTGCACGAAAATGGAACGTTTCTTGCGTTTTGTAATTCAAAATATTTAAGAATTTTAAAACTACTTCATATTTTTCCCTATAGGACATACTATATTTAGAAAAGAGAGAGGAGAGGTGAAACGAAAAAAGTTTTAGAGCGATCGAGAAGAAAGCAATACACGTTTCATTTTTGAGACTGCGGCATTCGATTGCCAGTAGAAATCGCTGCTCATGTTCTTACCTTTTTGCAGTGCCTCGCAGTTCCTAGTTAGCCACCTCCGTCCTTATCCACGTCAACCGACTTTTTATCGAATTTTATTAAATGGCGATCATAGAAAATTGAATTTCCATTGTATTTGTGTCTATGCTCGAAAAAAAAAAAAAAGAAAAAACAATTTTTTGATTTTACATTGTAAAGCAATTTTACATTGTAATCAATTTCTAACTCAGTTCTCTCCTCTTACTTGGTTTGTACCGCGTTACTTTTCGAAGACGCCGATATTCGAAGTTGACATTGTTCAGCCGCGTTGCTCTTGCATTAAGAACAAGGATGTTGAGGTAAACATGGAAAACTATGGCGATATGCAATAAAAGGCGGTACATTTTTAAAATTTTTTTTTTTTAAGTAGAAAGTAAAAATGAAACGTTTAATTTAAAAAATTTTTTTAAATTAAAGACGAGCTGAAACTTAATTTTTATGATTTTTATGAAATTTATGAAGATTGAATTCGAATCTTATGAAATTCAAAATATATATATATATTATTTTTTTTTTTTAGAAATTAAAATTTTAATTTCTGAATCTTAATTTCTAAAATTTTTTGAATTTGTAAAAAATTATTTTTATTCTTTACTTTTTATTTTATTTTTTTTTTTTTTTTTNTTTTTTTTAGAAGTTT